TATTATTACATATTTAAAAAATATTTTTAAAAAATTATTATTATTATTTATATACAATCTTATTCAATACTTAAGAGATATTAAATATAGTTTGCAAATATTTTGCTGAATTATTCAATATTACACCTTGACCGACACGCTGCAATGTGGATCGTATCGGATTAACCGTGTGATTCTCGACTGAGTTGATTCGAGCTACTTTGTGCCGGTCACGGAACTGAGTGTGAAGCATTATCTCCGCGGTCATCTTTACGAAGCGCGATCGTACAAAGTATTGGATTGAAAAGTAGCGAGGTCAGATTTGGTAGAAGTTGGAAATTCGGCGCGACGAAAGCTAGCGGTGTGTCGCTTCACGAGTTACCTCGAATCGAGTCACTTGTTAGTAACGCCGGCTTCCTGACCTACATACCGCGACCACCATATAACAAACGTAACACTTTGTAGCGACGTGTGCACTCACGGACGGGTACACGCATGCACCGGACACGATTGTGTCGTGTATATGCACATGTGTATATTACACGTGTATACACATACAGCACACATCTTGTGCTCCATGTCATCATATAAGATCAAGTTTCCATTCCCGATTCTTTCAGATTTAAACTCTAAACTATTTTTAAATCTATTTTTAAATCAACTAAAGTATATAGAGTGTCTCAGTAATTCTGTTATAAAACAATATCTCTATTACATTAATGATATGCAAAAATGCTTGAGTAAATTGTTTAGTTTGAAGGGACACATTATGATGAAAATCATTTTTTTTCTCAAGATTATATATTTTTTAAAATTTCAAGATTATCGATATTTTTTTAAATAGGACTATATATTTCTATTATTATAGCGTAATAGCTAAGAGATCGAGATCAATTTAATCACCTGTAATACAATCTTTACGTAACTTTGAGTACGAAAAAAGTACGAAAAAATTCAGAAATTTTAAAGAATGGATGCAATAAAATAAATAAGATAAATAGATAATAAAATAAGATGTTCAAAATTATTTCCATTGACTTTTAAACATTTGTTAATTCGATAATGGAAGCGTCTCACATTTGTGAGTATTTAGGGTATCACAGCAGCACGAGAGCTTGTCGAATTCTTTCTTTCATTTTATCACTTGTCGAAAAAACTTTCTCTTTGATAAAGCCCCATAAATTATCATAATTAGAAGATGTTCTCCTCTTCTTACTAGTTTTTCTGTTTTTAGTTATGTGAGACGGTTGCAACAAGACGGTGCACTGCCACATTTGTTCTTCTCGCAATGCGATATATTTTATATCCAAACAAATGGATAGGAAGAAGAAGTCTCTAACTTCTTGGTCGCCACATTCTTCTGATATTAATCTTCTAGATTTCTTTCAATGAAGTTTTATAAAAAAGAAAATTTTTTCAATGAAACCTACAACATGATGACAAGTGTTTGTGCTGTAACACTCCAAATACTCGCAAATATGCGATGCATATTTTGCATCAATGCTCTTTTCAGAATCGAATTAACAAATGTTTATAAGTCAATGGAAATAATTTTGAACATCTACTACAATAAATAAATTTTCCTTTACTACTAATCTTTCTATTATATTTATTTCATTATTCGCATCCATTCTCCAAAATTTTTCATATTCACATTTTCATAGATCACGTGAAAGTTATTGTATTATAGGTCATTATGGATTCATCTCGACTTTAATTAATACGCTATATAATAATAGGAATACGTAGTTCTATTTAAAAAAATATAATCGATAATATTGAAAAATCTCTAAAAATGTAACTTTAACTCTCAGTATCCACAAAGCGTAATCCCTCCCCTCCTCCGATTTTCTCACTTCATATACTTCAGACGTTTTTTTCCGATCTTTTTTATTGCAAAATATCTTTTGTGCTACGACATTTTAGATTTTCAAAAATTCTTTTTTACAATCTTCAAACAATAGATTACAAAAAAATTAGTTAAAATCGATGCACTACAATCTGAGATAGAAGAAAAAGAAAACGCTGGGTTACAAATACTCGGATGTGGATAGATGGAGACTTTTTTGAGATGTGGGTACTGAGAAAAAATGATTTCCATAATATGTGAACCTTCGAACCAAACAATTTATTTCTTAGGCACT